TGCTCTCTCCCAATGACTCCGGTACCGTGACTCGAAAGCCGATCAGAACCAGGTGACCGAGGATACCTATACTGCAGTCCGGGTACTGTGCCATTTGCAGCTTACCTTACAACAGCATCGAAAATCATATTCAATCGAAAAAACATCTGAAATTGATCGGAGAAGATGCCAATTACATAGCTTTGAACGGTTGCATTCATTCTGACGTTGGCATCCAATCCTTACTGAGTTTAACCGGCATCGAGGCAATAGGTCAGAAAAACTACATTTCAGTAGAGCTTGTTTTCCGTTTACCGTAACGTAGTTATCGACCGCGCAAGAGTTTTGCTTTCGCGCGGTGGATTGGTTGCAGTATGGTCCAAGTTGACTTTTGTTTAGGTAGTTTAGATATTTTTTTTAGTTTTTGGAATATCAATTTAGAAGTTTTGAGTTTTTATTAACGTTAGATTTAGAATTGTATTTTATGGTAAAGCATGTGTGTTTATTTTATTACTGAAAAATAATAATGCATATTACACAACAGGGCGTCGGTACAGAAATCTTTCTGACGGTAATAATAGATTAATTCGCCTTAGCTCAGATCCATTTAGGAACTCACAATCCAAGTTTTATTTTGGTTTAGGTAGTTGGGGTCCTAAAAACACCCTATGTTCGTGTTTCTGTCTTATTGAATGTTCTTTACATTGTGGTCTGCTAGAGTAGCTCTCTTTTGGACCGTCCGCGACTTCGAGCAAGTATCATGAGTTTATATGAACAATTTCACATGGGCGCGTATGCTCCATACGACGGAGTTCGTCTGACGGCTATCTTGAAAAAACACGACGGACGGTTCGTCGCGGACGCTCCGCTCCATCTGAAAGCGCTGTTACGGCGCTGAGCGTCGTCTTCGGCGATGGCCTACGATGGTTCAGCCAAACCGGACGCGGCAGACCACTATGCCGGTAGCGACCGTAAAATATTGTTACAGTACTTAATATTTTGTATGATCGAAGAAAAGTCGTTTAGTCGGTTTGGAAATGACGTCTATTGGCATTTACCATAATATTTTACATATGAAATAACACCGATCTTCATTTCTAAGCCAACTGACGCTGTTCTTTGTTTAATCATATAATATTATATTAAATTGTTTAATTATAGAAAATCCATATTATTATTAAATTATTAACGTACTCCACCCAAAATCCGTAAATCTAGGGATTAATCCGTATTCTGGCAACCACCCACCTGTCGACTGAGCAGAACCAGAGTACCCTAAACCAAGCCGAGTAGCGACAGTCCTGTTTTAATTTTTCTTTGCGGCTGCGCGAAATAAGTAGGTTATCTGTCATATGAAGAAGCGAAGTTGCCACTGTTGCCATTTATCAAATATCTCTATATACTTTATTTCAAGTATACATCAGGCAACGAATCGTTTTTTTAATTATTTATTAGCTGTACGATATTTTATACATTCAAATTTAGAAATAAGGATAAAACGAAACAAAAAAAAATATGAATAAAACTTTATAATTAATTTCACTTCAAATTATGAGCAGTGTATACCATGTTTATAGGACCACTTCATAAGTTGAGCAGTTAAATACGTAGTCTATCTGTCAAACACGTCAAAAGAGAGAGAAAGAAATTCCAGTCCTTACCACATTACCGGGCTACGACGGCTCTTGTCGCTACTGGCGATCTACGGTACTGGCAGACCTACGGCATAGTATTCTTTATCCGCTGCGCTCTAAACAACTATCAGCGGGCAGACGTTCAAAGCTAAATAAACTCGGACAGGCTGACTAGCGGCAACGGTTTCACATCTTCGGACTGGTTTTGTGCCACGAAGACGCTCCATAAGGTTGCTCCATCTTCTTATTTCTTCAGCTTTCTTTCTTTTGCCCATCTTCATTTCATTTCTTTCATCAACGCTGTTATTTTAAAATAACAGTTGAAACCAATAAAGTTATTTAGCAATCGATGATTGTTTAAAGAGCCATCGCTGTCAACGCCGTGATATTTTCATATCTGTTATTTTTTGGTAAGTAACAGGATCTGTCTGATACTAATTACGTATCATTAGCCATCGTTGTCAAGGCAGTGATATTTGAAAGTAGCAACTAATGCGAACTATTATTCCTAAATTACAGTTTGTAAATTTTTTCCTGTTTTATGTTTAAATAAATAATTAAAAATAATAAAAAAAAATCTTTTTTAAATAAGTCCTTTTCATTCTGCCGTGTTTTACCAATTTATTTCTTTTAATGTCGTCTTTATATCTTGTAGTATGCCGGACCCTACTGCAATTATCGGTTTGTGGTCTTCACTCTAACAATCTTTTGAATCATTTCTCGTTGATTATACAAGCCACATGAACTGCACGATATATTGGCCTCTTCGGACATACATCACACATCTTCGTTTCTAATTTGGTTAGGTTAGGTTAATGTGTTCCATTGGGAGACCAAATTGAAATTGATCACCAAAAGATCTTGTCACGTAACAGTTTTTTTCTCTCCAAAAAAAATCCTTTATGGGTATTTTTTTGGAGAGATGAATCCGCCACATAGGTATATACATTTTTTAACAGTTTTTTTGTCGTTGCTTGTGTTAAATTATCGGCGTTATAATCATATACTGTGCGATCGAAAAAAAAAACGGCGTCAAAGGGGGTTTTGGGGAATGACCATCGATGATAATTTTGGCGAGGCTTAACCTTAGATGTCATTACTTGGTCCGGACTCTTTGATGGCCGTATTGGATGGCGCTAACTGCCAGTTGGCCTTAAGAAGGTTGTTATTTATTTTTATATTGAGTAAAAATGTTTTTTAAATGGTGTAATTTAAAATTCGAGAAAATAAATAATAATTTTTGAAATGTCTAGAGATTAACCCCACTAAAAGTATCATCGATTGTCATACCCTCAGCCGTCTTTTGACGCCTTTTTTTGATCATACGGTATAATCCAACCATATACATTAATGTCCAATACACAATACATACATTTAAGATGTCTTTTTTTATGAAAAATAACATAAAAATAATATTTTAGTTTTTTCTAGTTAAAATTTACATTACTTACTTATTTTTTTCTCATTATTAGCATTATTTGACTCTTAAGGCGGGTTGACACGGTCCAAGTATACTTGAACCAGGTACACTTGGATGTTGCCATATAACTACTAATAATCCAGCGCGTGTCTCACTTGTATGCTGCTTGTTTAGAATTAACCGTTTTAAGGTTGATTCTCATTATACCTTCCGTATTGGCTCCCTTCCGTTTTCATAAAATATTATATCATGTAAATGAATAGGACAATGCACACTAGTGATGGGAATACCGGTTCCACATGAGTCGCGTTACAGTAACGACCGTTCCAGAAAAATACCGCGACAAAATACCGCTATTTTGTAATCGAGGTTCCGACTTCCACAGTGTCGCGGTCCTCGCTTATGCAGTATTTCTGGCATTAGTTATCTACTCCCAACAGGTTCTTATAATTGTACCCGCTGTTACAACTATTCGTGCCGTGAACTTAGATAATGAACTTAATAGAACGCCTATGGAGAGCGGTGTTTACTTTATAGAAAATGGCCCTATATTTTTTAAAATTTTCGATGCTGAGAAATACAAAAATAAAATAAGTTAGTTAAACTATAGTTAGTTGCTTGCGAAATTGATTACCTGTCGTTATAATGCTTTGTTCATTATATTGCGGGAAGTAGTATTTATGTGTTAATTTTAAAAAAAATATCAAGGAATGACGTATTGTCTTTAACGGCTCATATTTTTGTGTATTGCAACATAATATATTTAATCAAGAACAAAGTCCAAACCACTGTCAAAAAAATTCTTTATTGGTGACCGGTTTCGGCAATTCCAGCCATCATTAGACCTTAAACATAGATATAAACAATAAAACTTATATAAATGTATAAAAGCAAATAACATTTTTATTTTATTTGCTTTTACGTTTCATCTTTCTAACAACGCTATTTTATACCATGCCTAGTACATACCAAAAATCGCTATTTCGAAAGTAACGTAGCGACGGGAGCACTAACGCCAGTAGTAACCGACCAAATCGCGACAGGCGAAAGCGAAACCCTAGAAGCGCTCCAGCGACTGCTGAAACGAAGTACGTCGCCGCGCCGCCGAGGTCGAGCGTCGATAATCAGTTACAGCTGGAGCTAAACACGTCGCTATGCGGTTACTACGGTTCGAGCTCACTTCATGAGCGATTATAAATAATTTATTTGCAAATTATAAATAATTTATAATTTTGTCGTCATTATGATCGTCGTTCTTCAATAACAGGTTCCTGATTCGTTGTGGAGCGCGACACGACGTTACAAAAAAATACCGCTTCAAAATCGCGTTACTCAAATACCGACACGTCACTAATGCACACTATCCGTTCCGTTTCCCTTCCGTTCCATATCCTTTCCTTCCATACATTTTTTTGGTGGACGGACTGAAGCGTTTCGGAAACAGCGTTGTCAAGTTCTTACGTTAAGTACCAGCTCTGTTATTTATTACCTTTTTCAGAAGATACTAATTTCTAAAATAAAACTTTGGTAATGATATAAATTGTACAATAAAAAGTATGGAACTGATACGGAACGGAAGCTTACGATAGAGTGAATACAATGAAAAATATGGAACGGATATGGAATGGAAACGGAAGGTATAGTGACCAACTCATCCAAGTCGAGTTGGAAGGCTTTTAACATCAAAATTGCTGCCAACTTACTTGGATGCAAGAGGCCTTTCAATTCGACTTTGATAACAATTGGTACCATAGTAACAGCATAAATTTGTGAGACGCTCGTAACATCCATATAAATATTTCTTTATATGGCAGCATCATAGGCAGCATCCAGTTGACTTGGCCCAAATACACTTCTTTGATCGCGTCAACTAGGCTTTAATTAGAATTATTAATTTTTTTTTTTTTTTTTTTTAGAAAAATAATTATTTCCATTCTTTGTTGAAGTTAATGAGGGATTCCCACTTCTCCAAGAATAAGACGAAGGACAATGTCAAAAACTAAATCTTCTTCCATAATGTCGGATGTGGTCAAACCGGTCGAAGTTGTAGAAAACGAATCGAAACATCGGCTGAGATCGCGGAAAAACATCAACTACATGACGCCACCTTTGGAGGAAGACAGCTTTCAGGATAAACCGGATCTGGAACCTGTACGTTTTGAGTATAAGGAGTATAGAGAGTTGAGGTCTAGTACAAGAGCATTAGCCGTAAGTTTTTGACGTAGTTGGTAGCTTTGTATTAACCAAATTATAAAACCACCTATTTTTATTTTTATATATTTCGAATTCATTACGAAGGTTCTGAGTCAGTACAACGCTCGCCGTTTTAGCGCACGTTCAGCTCTTTAGTTTTAAAGGCCATTTACAGAAAAATAAATTTTTTTTTTTGAAACACCCTGTTTATTGTCAACTTGACAATTACTGCTGATATCTACTGGTTATAATGTAGTTCTTTTTCAAAATATTATAAAAAAAAAAAAAAACTTGAAATATGCGGTTTTTTGCGAGAGCTACCGGCGCTGCGTTAATAAAGAGATATGGCTATGTACGTCAATCGAAAGACAGTATTTGCGATAGCGTTTTTGTTTACACGGATAGTGATGTTAATATTTCGAAACTTGATTGTTGCAGGAAATTTCCGAAACTTCGGAAACATTCGGAAATTTGCGAAATTTCTAAATATATATATAAATAATAAATTAGATAGACATTTGATACCAACATGTAAGTGAAAAAAAACCATAAACATAATATTAGTTGTTATATTTTAATAAACAATACATAACCCATAAAAGTCATAAACATAACATATAACAAAATTATTTGGTAACATTTGTAATTTGTACATAAACCGGAACTAGACTATGAACTAAAACAAAAAAGGACGAAATATAAATTTAAAAAACGTAAACATTAAATAACTGAATTATTCTATTCTAGAATACTTCCAGGCGCCGAGCTGGTCCCATCTCTATAGGGTAATATAGTAGTAGTAGTAGTAATTGTTCCTTTGCTGCCTTTTATTTCCAAATCAGGGTATATTTGATGTATCATCTGGTTCTGATTGTGAAGGATGGACCTCTACCTCTACGGGTTCTAGTCTAGTGGTTCTGGAGGAGTTTCATGTTGTTGCATATCATGTTCCATATCCACTTTTTGTTTTTGTAGTAGGTAATAATTTAGTGTTATGAGCTACGAACATTATTTTGCCGGCTCTTTGTGCAGTTAAGTGATTCCTTTTTTAGTATGGATAAAACTGTAAGTACCTACTGAAACTTCTCTCAGTGGCTGCAGATGACGCTGGTAAAGATAGCAGAGCAACAGCTAAATATTTCAACTGAGTATTTTTACATATTGCTTGCCACCAACTTAGACAGTCTACATTTTTAACTGACATCCAAACGTAGTCGAGAGCCCATAAACCCGATTTGGCGCAATAATTTGTACATCTGTATGATATAATATGAATGGCTTCTTTATTATTGACAAACTGAGGATGTTTGTTGGTGATAATGTTGATAAATTCCATAGCGGCTATGTGTTCTTCATTGTTAAGGTGCTCTACCAGGAAACAGGGGTCCAAGAGATTCCCGGCAAAATGCATTCGTTTTAAGAGCCATATTGCCTTTCTATCTTTGTAAGGCGGAGAAGCATTCTTCTTTCTTCCTGATTTAAGAATAGGCATACTTGATTAAATAATTTCGTTAAATTTTACTCAATGTCTTGAATTTTGAAAAGAAATTTTGCAAAATTGGGATTTGCGAATATTCGCGATTTTGGGACTGAATATTTCGGAAATTTCCTTCAAATTTCCCTGCAAAAATTCGAATGAAATATTCGCTACCAACATCACTATACGCGGAGTATAGAAAATTTTTGCCACAGTTTGTTTACTACCAGTAGTATTTGTGAACCTCTAGAGTATTAAAGTGTATTTTGCTGTATAATTATCAAGTGCATTTTCATAAGTTATCTGACCATCAAAATGAATAAAGGTCTAACATTAGAATTTAAGCCCTACATGAACTTAATAAAAACGGAACTCACTCATTTAATAATTTTAGAACGTACTTAAAAATTTGCTAATACTTAAAACAGTATAAACTGATTTCAGACACACCCTAAAACGCATATTTCTCTATAAATAATGATGACGTAACGTTGAGCGATCGCCAAACAGAATTTCCTTTTTCTTTGAATTGAGCCTTAAAACCGTTGATTGAAAAGAATTGGGAAGATACGCAACCTAATGGGCGAATTTGTGACAAGGCTAATTTGGTTTCTCCTTACTTTTCAAATGTTGTAGGGTGGAGACACTAACCTTTTAGGGCAAAACCAATTCTATTTCTCTAATTCGGCCAGCTAAGGCAGTTCAAAGACGATGTGGAACTGAAAGTGACAGTGTTGCCCCATATTAAAAATGTGTAATATCTGTAATTTGACGAAAAATATCTTGGATGAAAAATCCGCGTTTATGTATTGAAATGTATTCGTGTTAAATAATATAGAATAAACAACAAAAATAAAAATTCTTTTAGGTACTGAATATGTCGTATGATCGAAAAAGGTCATTTAGTTGGCTTCGGAAATGATGATATTGACATAATAGAAAATCCATATTATTAACGTACTGTACCCAATATATGTAAATCTACGGATTTATTAGTAGTTCTGGCAATACTGTTTCCGGCAACCACTCACTCTGTCGACTGCAAGCAGAACTTACGGTACAGTATTCTTTATCCGCCGCGCTGTAAACGACTATCAGCCGCAGCGGCGGCAGAGCTAAACTAAATCTCGAACAGGTTTTATGCTACGAAATCGCCTATGAGGTTGCGCATCTTATTTCACCAACGCTTAAACATAATGGCGCGCTCAGACGGCTAACTATCGTCGGACCCTGTATGCCAATCACAATTGTTTCCCAAGTACACGAGGCGTCATAGTCCGTCTTAAGGCTAATAGAAGCCAAATATACTAGACAATTATTGTACAAAGAAACAAAGTGAATTCTAATGTGTGTAAATCAGTATAAGTTTCGTATTAGTTACATGTAACTTCGGAATCGGTGGTTTTATATTTGGTTTGAAATAATTTGGAATATATAAGACAAAAGATACCTATGCCATATGATTATATGTACGAGTAGTATTTTTCTAGTTTTAGTTAGCCGTAAGAACTTTAAAATTAAATTATGGAATATGTGGAAGATTTATAGTGAGCAACTCAGACTTATCATTTAGTCATTATAATTTTTAATCGTTCAATAAGTTATGTCTCATGGTTCAGCAACCAGCAACCTGGCATTTCTTTGTATCTCTCTATCTATTGGTTATAACATAAGACAATTACTTAATATTGAACTGAAAATCATATGGTATAATATTCTAAGATCTTATATATTATTTTAGTTAAGTTTGTAAATTGTACTTGTTTATATAAGTTTAGTAAAATAATATTTTATTTTGAAGGAATTTTAAAATGCGTAGTAAATAAATTTAAAAACTTGGTTTTAATATGGTAGCTGTAGAAATATTGAATAGTAGAATTATTGCATTGTTAATAAGTGTTATATAAGTTAGTGTCAGTGTCAGTCAGTTATATAAGTGGGTCATATATTTGAGCTGTCCACAGTGACCACTGAAACCGCAAAGGCCTTTGTGATTCATATTTAAAATCGAATTAATTTCACACTGAAAACCCATAATATAATACTTTAAACCTTAAATAATTATGTAAAAAATATACATTTAAGTAGTTGCTTAAAAATATTTCAGTTAGCTGATATCTTAAAAGGCTATTTTTATTGAGAAATATATGTTTAATGAATTAATTTTTAATCTAGTTTTCAAATTTTCTCGATAAAAAACAACCAAACTAATATATTTGCAAAATTTTTTTATTGCCTGGTATATTCATTATATTACATTACTTTGCATGACGTGTAGATTTATATTCCCTCTTTTAGGCATGTCTGTTGAATTATGATCTATTAGCTTCTCGTTCGCAGAGCAGTTAGAAATAGTTTACAACCTATCCCGATTACTACGTTGCATGATGTTTAAAGGTGTTGCAAAAGCAATATTTTTGATTCCTAAGCAAAAATACAGCGTTCGCAGAACAAAAATTAGGAGCTTCCAACTGATTTCTAATCGTCAGAACAGTCTGATATTTAATCATACATTTCGAACTTACGGTGTTACGTTTGAAGTCTTCTATAATAGGAACAATTTTTGTACCAGAATTTCTTGACTTTAGACTTAATCAAATTTAATGAGAGAAGAATAATAATTTATGACAACACAAGAAAAATATTTATTTTATTTTCCTTCCAATTCCTCATAAATAAATAGTGAAATGAACTGTCAAAGTTAATTGTTACGGGTCATTCGCGCACTTACTCATCGAAATTTGATTTCGATTGATCGTTCACAGAACTATAATCCACAACCAGGTTTGAGACCAGTTGGAAACGATGCGTAGAGATAAACTGACAACCGAACCGGTTGGATATTTCTCTGTGCGAACAAAGCTATTCGTAAACATGATAGTAAAAATGATTTTTTTAAAACTAAGTAGTATTTATTAATATTACTAATGATTGAAAATGATAATAATCACGACTGACTACCCTTGAATATATTGATGTCCTTTCAGAAACTCACGTCGCTGACAACCGATAAAGAATTGTGGGATTCAGGACGGCCAAAAAGGTCGTGTATTAACAGATCTAAGAGAGTTTCGGCAGATGAACGGCTAGTATCAGATAATAAGACATATTACAAAGTAGAAGTTCTATCAAACAAACTTCGTTCAAATGAAAAGGACAAGGAATCCACAAAACAGCAGCAGTCAAAAACAAACGATACTGATAAAGGACTCATTGTCAAATTCAAAAAACTTCGAAATTCTGGTAATACGTTCTTTGATAGAAAAAATTAAACGTTTTACCTTCGATTTTGGGAATTTTTCAGAGCTAGTTCAATTGAATAATGAGGCAACAAACTTTTTGTTCCCTAAAAAGGACGAGTCGAGTGAGGATGAGGAAGAGGGCCATGAGGATGAGACAAATGAGACTGAAGATGAGGTCAAGACCGAATCTGAACCAACTGAAAGTAGCGGTAATTTTATTGAAAGAACAAGTAGTGTTATTATCCTGTTCTAATTGTAGTAACATCTTCGAGTGAGCTTGAAGAAGTTAAACCGCCGGATAAATTCAAGGTTGAAGAGGAATGTTCATTGGACAGTATCTCATCGGAATGTAGAAAGAGGCGGAAAAGAAGAAGTCATGCCGAAGCTTTTATAATGGATAATCGCGCATACAAATTTGAAACGCTAGGGTCAAGGTTAGTAATTATGGAATACAATTCATTTAGTGGCCATATATTAAGACAGCGCATCATACCAGTCTGCAATTCAAATCGGTGGTCTGAATTTTAACGTGCAAGTGCTGATAATATACACAAACTAAACTTTATATGGAATCATCTATTATTTTCACACTTTTGAGACGTATGAAAAATTGGAAGTTTATTAATAAAACTCAGTCCCTACCAATGACTTTAATGAAAAATAATCCATATAGCAATAAAAAAAATAATCAGTTCCCAAAATAAACAAATGGTATTTTTGTTTTCTAAAACAAAATTAAGATTTAAACTTTTAATGGCCAAAAAGCAGAAACAAAAAAGAAAATTAAGAGCTAATTTTGGCCATTCCTTGTTGCCTACCTCTAGCCCTTATGCATGCTTCTATCCGCGCTGGCATGCTTCTTATTTAAGTATCAATGTTGTCTTGGGGTGTGTTTTCCAATTCTGCTAATGCTGCATCAATAAGCTGTGTAAGATTTCCTGGATTGTTTCTACGAGCTCTAACCCTTATTTTGAGCTAGTCCCACAAGAGTTCGATAGGTTTTAGATCTTGTGAACATGCAGGCCAGTCCAAAACTATGACACCTCCCGTTTCAAGACATTCTCTAGTCACTCTGCTGGTTTGGGGAGGTGCACTATCGTGCAAGAAGTTAAAATTATCATCAATTGCAGCTCTCCAAAAACTAACAATTGGTTCTAGCACTAAATCAAGACAATCAAGATACCTCCGACCTGTTAATGTTTGTTGAAGTGGTAACGATGGAGTTTTTGTTCCCAGTATAATACCTCCCACACAACAGTAACATTACAGTTCCTCCTATATATCTTGGTACAGATTAGGCAGCCTGAAGTCTCGCTCGTCGTCCTGGAGCTCTGGGAACCCAAATTCCGATGGCGGTTATCTGATCTTAGCCAATTCTGGTCTCATCAAAGAACATTTTGTCAATTCTCAGTTGTCCAATTTTGATGTTGAAGGCACCAATTTAGCCGGTCAATTTTATTTGCCGAGATAACTGTGGGGTCCGTAACTCTCTCCTACTGTAAAACCCTCGAGCACAAAGCCTTTTTTCTATGGTTTCAACTGAAACGTTCACATCTGTACCTGCCAGAAGTTATCTTTCTAGCTCTGAATGAGAAACATTAGGATTTATTCTAGCAATTTGGCACACAAGGCGTATTCCCGTTGTTCGGTTGTGACTTTGACGACTTTGTCTGGACCTATCCTTGTCTGTTCCTAATTCCAAGTATCTTGCATGTTTTCGATACAACACCCTAGGTAACGCCTACTGTCTCTGCTACGTCTCTCTGGGACATTCCTTGTCGGGTTGAGAGTACAATTTTTCCCATAAGACCATAATCCAAATACCGGGATTTTACTACTGAACACAAAATCCAAAAGAAAATAAATCGTGGCAGTCGTTTATTCTTTATTATCATGTTTTATTTTACAACAAAAAAAAAAAACTTTAAAAGTTGTATACCAATTTTTATCCTTGTAGGAAATTTAGTCAGAAATAAAAAGCAATTCCATTTTATAAGTTTGGTTTTGCCTGTATATTAACTTCGTATTAAATTAAAAGTGAGTTGAAACATTTTTTCTATACAATATTGCTGAACCACCAACGCGGTTTGATAAACCACATTTCTTTCTGGTCGTCTGTCAACTAATTATAATGTAGTCAACTACCTTTGTCCCTCGTCTTAACGTAAAAAATATAAAACTACCAGGGCTTTAAAATGGCTAAGTATATACACCCATAGAAAAACTGCGTGAATTCTGGATTTTAACGCAATTTTCGCACAGACATTACTGGTGAGGCGGCGCGCGCTGCAGTTTTTGTTTCCAACAAAATCCCATGAACATTCGTCTAGTCGTTAATCATGTCTCTATCGTCCGAGAAGAACTACGCAATTTTAATCATGAGTAGTACGACTCTTTAAACACTCCATTAATAAACAATATTCAAAGAAAAACACAAAAGAATTCTATTCAAAGAAAATACACTACAGTCACTAATAAAATGCAAGCAAGCGCGGTGTTTTCACCGGCCGTCCCAACTAAACAACGAACAAACAAAGCAGAGCGTCGAAAAACCGACATGAGATGATGGTTCGCGGCAAGCGGTTTGCGCGCAGAGCGCGCGCAACCTGAAAACACGTACCAATAGAGGCGAAACGGTGCGCGCGTGCCGCGCGTTTGCGGCGCAGCGCGCCAATGTATAAATATGCACTATAAGACAGTGATATAGACAGCTCAATGGAAAATCACATGTATGTTAGGCGTTTAGGAAAAATTTTGCATCTAGGGTTGGAACTCTATTTTACAATTATTTTAATAATTTTACCAGCTGTAATAGTTTATATTTAGCTTAGATATATTATCTTCATTTCAGTAGTACATGAAAGTTTTTAAAATAGTTTATTTTTTTCTACACACATTTTCTAACAAACGTAAAAACCGGAAACACTGTATGCCGCTTTTATTTTGTCTCTGTCTGTCAACCGGAGCTATTTTATATTTATCTCTGATGCATGCATTAAAATACAGATCACGTAGATGATGATCGTTGTGCCTTATTTCTTTTGCCTTTATTACTAATAAACCCGTTTTTGTTTTAATATATCTGGGGTAGAATGATTGGTTAATATATCTGGGGTAGAATGATTGATGATTGGGGTAGAATGAGTTGGGTGATTAACCCCCCTAATCACTGCGATCTATTGTGCCCTAATATATCTGTTAATGTATTGGAAAATGGGTTTAGAATTTCAATTAAAATTCATTTGAGAGCACTCTAAAAATACACAATTCTATTGAATACCATTACACCTTTATTTACGTAGGGTTGCTTTTAAGTTTTATAAAAGAGAAATAACAGAAATTTTAATTTTAAATTTTTTAAGGATTTATTAGCAATCAGAATAATTACAAAAAAATTCTATGGGCTGATTTGATGACTTAAAACCAGTGACGCTCCAGTTAACGTGATGAGGTCTTCTCCAGCGAAAAATCCTCCTAATATTCTTTCAAATCAGATGGCCATTGTCTTCTTATAGGTACTGGTTCAAGTAGAGACTGTATTGTATTGTATTAGTGTGATCATGTAGTCTGTTGAAATGTTTTTTGCTCCGAGTTTGGATGACTTCTTTGACGTACGGAATTTTTAAGTCTTCATGTAGAGTATGATTGGAGATATACCATGGTGCGTCTGTTATCATCCGTAGAATTTTAGATTAACTCTATTAAAAATATATTTTTGATTTACTAGCGCATCCTCAGAGTTCTGCTCCATATGTCGCTCCTAGGTATTAACTATGGTTTTTCTTCTCTAGCGACAGTTTAGATCTTCTTCCTATTAACCAATATAAGTCTTTTTATTTCTAAATAAAAGAAACAGAAATGAAGAAGTTCGAAACAAAGTGTTTTATAGCTTTTTCGAAATATTCGCCCTTAAGGTCTATACATTTTTGCATACGCTCAAACCAATTCTGAAAACATTTTTTTCACTCTGAAGCTGATATCGTAGAAACATGATTTTTAAAGTCTTCAACAGCTTCTTGAGGCGATGAAAATCGCTGTCCGCGCATCTTTTGTTTGACAGCGGGGAATAAGAAAAACTCATTAGGCGATAAATCTGGTGAATACGGACAATGAGACATTCATTCGATGTTTTTCTCCTTAAATGACCAAGAGTTGCCAAACGTAAAAGTAAGCCAAAGTACACTTTGCGGCGCTCGTACGCCAAAACTATTGAATTTTCGAAAAAAAGGTTATTGCATAAATTGTAGCAAATTCTCTCTAGTTTCATTTTGTATATAAATATTTTTATTGTAAAATGAGTCAGAAAGATATTGTCAAAAACCTCTTTTAGGCGCCATTTTTTCAAGATGGCGGCGCGAACGGCATAGATACGAGGAGGCAAAGTTGAAATTCAGAAAGAGCACATCAAAATCTATAAAATTACCAATTTTCAAAACTCCCGGAAAACTTTCCAGGTAAAACCAAACCATACCAAATGACTGGACTAAAGAATGATGCGACGTTTTTAGTTCTTTTTCCTTATTTCATCGAAGACCGTTGGCAAACAAATTGTTTTATACCATTCGGCATTAACATTCGTAACATTAACGTTCTTCGATCCCCTAATAGAATAGTTGCGACGTGTCCAGTACAACTGAAGAAACAAGCGATTGTAAATCTTTAAAGGCAACCTACGTAGATATATTTCATACATAATTTTTAAGTATGTAGATTGGTAGACAAATGGACACTGAAAGTAATTTCAAATAGTTGTCCTATTTCAAGTCCTGTAATTTTTAAATTGTAAATTCTGTGTACTGCAAGTAAACAGAAAACAAAATGTAAAGATGTAGTAAAATCTAAAAAAAATGTAGTAACCTAAATAAAAAATTCAGCTGAACAAATTAATTTATAATCCATTATTTTTTGCTTAGACTAATTCTACCAGTCATTTTTAGTATTAACATCAAATAAAAAACAGTTGTTATATTAATTAGCTATTTTATTAAAAACAGAAAGAACATTTTCATCATATCTTGATTAACATCCCCTTTTTAATTCATTATTATCAGAATTTAATTAATCAATATGTGTTATGTGTCAGTGTTTTATTTTTGTCGACAAAGGTCGGCGGTACATCACCTCAAGTCAACAAGTTTTCTTAACTTTTTTCAGTTCTTACAGATTACGGTATCACGGTTCCTATTTATCACCTGTACCAACAAAATCCAATGGCGAAGTTACAGTGAAAATCGAAAAAAGATTTGGAGGAAAGAAGGACGCCATCGACAGACTGAAAATTAACGCGAACGATTACACTTTTTCTTTTGAGACCGTTCCGAAAATGAAAAATGGTACAAGACTTTCCAGAGACAAGATAGATCGGAAGAACGTTATCCGTTTAGTCGAAATTGTAAGTAATATTTCGATTTTTTCAAAATTTCAATCAATAAATGTTTGATTCCTTTTCAGACTTTTGGAACGATTTTGTTTGCCATGCAAAATATCGCACTTAAAACCCTTAGATCCTAGAATGTGCTTTAGTGCATACAAAGCAATCTAAATGGTGTCTTAGACTCCATACTGAGAAACTTTCTGAAGAGCCAGTTACAGAAGACGTTGCAGAAAGCGTAGAAATGTCCGACTCAGTGCTAGAGGAAAAGGAAGAAGAGGAAGATCCAGAAGTAGAACAAATGGATGAAGATAGCAAGTTGAGTGACTTGTCCACTGTATCAACAAATGTAGAAGAACAACCTCCAGAAGAAGCTAAGACGTCCGTCGTGTAGGAAGGCGACGAAAATGTTTGACGTTATCTCCTACGACGAGCGGAGGACGAAATCCCAGAAAATCTCCAAGACAGCATGCATCCACCTTGGCTATTTTAAGTCTGATCCATCAGAGAAAGAGGCGACTTCGAACAGGAGCCACGGGCAACTCCTCTCCGCGTTACAAAACCATTCGGAAGAACCAACACCGGCACCACCAGTTGCACATCGAAAGTCCCTCCTCAGAAACCGAGGAAGAAGAAAATAGACCTCGTCGCCAACGCTATTCGCATGGAAGAGGAATTCGACGCTCTACTCGACGAAGACGTAGATCTAAATTTGGAACCGACAACAGATCCAGATTATGCAAGTTTTAAGGACGAAAAGACTGAACGTGGACGATATAATGACCCTGTTTGAACAATCTAAAGATTCGAGAAAATGAAAAATCGTCAAGAAAATGTACAACGGGCCTACAGGAAGGAAACCCAGTAAGAGAAAGAAGAACAAGACTGGCTGGCCCAAGGTAAAGAAAAGGAAGGTGTTGAAAGGCGAGAACGAAAGCGTGGCCGGCGATCTAAACAATGCGGACACCGATGATGAAGACGGTGAAGAACACGACGATTGCGACAGTATTACGGAAGGAGACAAATCACAACCACAAAACGGGCGACGTTGATGATTTCGATTCGGACAGGGTAGTAGATAATAGTGAACTTAGGGATAATAGTACAATGCAACCGTTTGTGTTTGTGAAAAAACTAGCCAGTAGTGGAACTAGCGTTAATAAGAAACAGGCCGTTCCATTAAAACGAACGGTACGGCCGATGCGACGAAAGCAGAGGCGCGTAATGACGTCTCCAAAGTCTCCGCGAATTCTCCGGAAGCCACGTGGTCGATGGTATCGCGAAAGATAAACGTAGTGAAGAAGTGTATTTATTTATTTTTTTCTTTCTCTTAGTTCTCTGAGAGATAACTTGAAAATATTTTGTACCAAAATATTTAATTTTGTAGGAGTAATTTAATTTTGTATCTAGGGGCGAGGCAACTGGTACTGATTTATCACGTCACATTGTACATAAAATAAAGTATTATTTTGTTAATTGTTAAAAGAATACCAGTTACTCGTCTAATTTTATGAAACAGATAAAGTTTGTTCTTTCAGAAATAAATGGTTTATAATACAAATACTTGTACTTGTTTGATATGCATAGCCTATATTAAAAATAAGTAATATATTTTAGTAAGTTTATGCACAAGCACGTTCATGATCATAGAGGATGAACTGTACAAAAAACATTGAAATTTTTACATTTTCCTTCAAAATTTTCCCGCATATTTCAAAAAACTCTTAAATAAATATTTTGCATCATAACTTATAAAAATAATTAAAACACCAAATGACGTTCTGAAATCAAAACAGCCAGTAGCATTTGAGAGGTGTCGCGTAGGAAGATGAAGAAAATGTTTGGCCTTACTTCCTACGTCCAGCGGAGGACGAAGTCCCAGAAAATCTCCAAGACAGCATGCACCCACCTTGGCTATTTTAAGTCTGATCCATCAGAGAAAGAGGCGACTTCGAACAGGAGCCACGGGCAACTCCTCTCCGGCGTTACAAACCATTCCGGAAAAACCAACACCGGCACCACCAGTTGCACATCGAAAGTCCCCTCCTCAGAAACCGATGAAGAAGAAAATAGACCTCGTCGCCAACGCTATTCGCATGGAAGAGGAATTCGACGCTCTACTCGACGAAGACGTAGATCTAAATTTGGAACCGACAACAGATCCAGATTATGCAAGTTTTAAGGACAGCAGACTGAACGTGGACGATATAATGACCCTGTTTGAACAATCTAAGATTCGAGAAAATGAAAAAATCGTCAAGAAAATGTACAACGGGCCTACAGGAAGGAAACCCAGTAAGAGAAAGAACAAGACTGGCTGGCCCAAGGTAAAGAAAAGGAAGGTGTTGAAAGGCGAGAACGAAAGCGTGGCCGGCGATCTAAACAATGCGGACACCGATGATGAAGACGGTGAAGAACACGACGATTGCGACAGTATTACGAAGGAGACGGAAATCTACAACCACAAAACGGGCGACGTTGATGATTTCGATTCGGACAGGAGTAGTAGATAATAGTGAACTTAGGGATAATAGTACAATGCAACCGTTTGTGTTTTGTGAAAAAAACTAGCCAGTAGTGGAACTAGCGTTAATAAGAAACAGGCCGTTCCATTAAAACGAACGGTACGGCCGATGCGACCTTGAAAGCAGAGGCGCGTAATGACGTCTCCAAAGTCTCCGCGAATTCTCCGGAAGCCACGTGGTCGATGGTATCGCGAAAGATAAACGTAGTGAAGAAGTGTATTTATTTATTTTTTCTTTCTCTTAGTTCTCTGAGAGATAACTGAAAATATTTTTGTACCAAAAATATTTAATTTTATAATAGGAGTAATTTAATTTTGTATCTAGGGGGCAGGCAACTGGTACTGATTTATCACGTCACATTGTACATAAAATAAAGTATTATTTTTGTTAATTGTTAAAAGAATACCAGTTACTCGTCTAATTTTTATGAAACAGATAAAAGTTTGTTCTTTCAGAAATAAATGGTTTATAATACAAATACTTGTACTTGTTTGATATGCATAGCCTATATTAAAAATAAGTAATATATTTTAGTAAGTTTATGCACAAGCACGTTCATGATCATAGAGGATGAACTGTTCTTACAAAAACATTGAAATTTTACATTTTCCTTCAAATTTTCCCGCATATTTCAAAAAACTCTTAAATAAATATTTTGCATCATAACTTATAAAAATAATTAAAACACCAAATGACGTTCTGAAATCAAAACAGCCAGTAGCATTTGAGAGGTGTCGCGTAGGAAGATGAAGAAAATGTTTGGCCTTACTTCCTACGTCCAGCGGAGGACGAAGTCCCAGAAAATCTCCAAGACAGCATGCACCCACCTTGGCTATTTTAAGTCTGATCCATCAGAGAAAGAGGCGACTTCGAACAGGAGCCACGGGCAACTCCTCTCCGGCGTTACAAACCATTCCGGAAAAACCAACACCGGCACCACCAGTTGCACATCGAAAGTCCCCTCCTCAGAAACCGATGAAGAAGAAAATAGACCTCGTCGCCAACGCTATTCGCATGGAAGAGGAATTCGACGCTCTACTCGACGAAGACGTAGATCTAAATTTGGAACCGACAACAGATCCAGATTATGCAAGTTTTAAGGACAGCAGACTGAACGTGGACGATAATGACCCTGTTTGAACAATCTAAAGTTTCGAGAAAATGAAAAAAATCGTCAAGAAAATGTACAACGGGCCTACAGGAAGGAAACCCAGTAAGAGAAAGAACAAGACTGGCTGGCCCAAGGTAAAGAAAAAAGGAAGGTGTGAAAAGCGAGAACGAAAGCGTGGCCGGCGATCTAAACAATGCGGACACCGATGATGAAGACGGTGAAGAACACGACGATTGCGACAGTATTACGGAAGGAGACGAAATCACAACCACAAAACGGGCGACGTTGATGATTTCGATTCGGACAGGGTTAGTAGATAATAGTGAACTTAGGGATAATAGTACAATGCAACCGTTTGTGTTTGTGAAAAAACTTCGCCAGTGTGTGGAACTAGCGTTAATAAGAAACAGGCCGTTCCATTAAAACGAACGGTACGGGCCGATGCGACGAAAGCAGAGGCGCGTAATGACGTCTCCAAAGTCTCCGCAGATTCTCCGGAAGCCACGTGGTCGATGGGTATCGCGAAGATAAAAACGTAATTGAAGAAGTGTATTTGGTATTTTTTCTTTCTCATGTTCTCTCTGAGAGATAACTAGAAAATATTTTGTACCAAAATATTTAATTTTGTAGGAGTAATTTAATTTTTGTATCTAGGGGCGAGGCAACTGGTACTGATTTATCACGTCACATTGTACATAAAATAAAAGTATTATTTTGTTAATTGTTAAAGAATACCAGTTACTCGTCTAATTTTATGAAACAGATAAAAGTTTGTTCTTTCAGAAATAAATGGTTTATAATACAAATACTTGTACTTGTTTGATATGCATAGCCTATATTAAAAATAAGTAATATATTTTAGTAAGTTTATGCACAAGCACGTTCATGATCATAGAGGATGAACTCTTCTTACAAAAACATTGAAATATTACATTTTCCTTCAAATTTTCCCGCATATTTCAAAAAACTCTTAAATAAATATTTTGCATCATAACTTATAAAAATAATTAAAACACCAAATGACGTTCTGAAATCAAAACAGCCAGTAGCATTTGAGAGGTGTCGCGTAGGAAGATGAAGAAAATGTTTGGCCTTACTTCCTACGATCCAGCGGAGGACGAAGTCCCAGAAAATCTCCAAGACAGCATGCATCCACCTTGGCTATTTTAAGTCTGATCCATCAGAGAAAGAGGCGACTTCGAACAGGGAGGCCACGGGCAACTCCTCTCCGGCGTTACAAACCATTCCGGAAAAACCAACACCGGCACCACCAGTTGCACATCGAAAGTCCCCACTCCTCAGAAACCGAAGAAAATAGACCTCGTCTCTTAACGCTATATTCGCATGGAAGAAATTCGACGCTCTACTCGACGAAGACGTAGATCTAAATTTGGAACCGACAACAGATCCAGATTATGCAAGTTTTAAGGACAGCAGACTGAACGTGGACGATATAATGACCCTGTTTGAACAATCTAAGATCCGAGAGAATGAAAAAATCGTCAAGAAAATGTACAACGGGGCC